AATTAACATTGATTTTCGTATTAAAAGGAAGGATGTGGGTTCGTTCCTAAACAAAAATCCACAAAAATTATTTTTCGAAGCGAATTTTCAAAGTTAAAATTTTAAAATTTAGCAATTTAAATAAATGTTTTTTTCTTCTTTTCGATGAATTTTATCGCCTTTAACACTTTTCAAAGTTTTATTCATGTTCAATATTTTTGGATGTTTATATTTATTAATCAATACAGAATAAAAAAAATGTCCCTCATAAAACTTTTATAAGGGATAAATATTTTGTTGATAAAAATATTTTTAAAAAAAACTATGAAGGAATATTTTAATGTCAAATATTTTAAAATATTTGTGAAATACAGTATTAAATTAATTTTTATTTAATAGTAATTTATGGAATAAATCTTTCAAGTTGTAGATTTTTAATTGTGTATGATGATGGTGATGATAAGGAGGAGAAGGAAAAATGAATAGGGAGAAGGAAAGAACAAAGATTTGGAGGNATAACCATTATAATAAACATTAAAAATGGTTACATTATGTATCAAATTACCTCAATTCTTTTATGAAATATGTTAAATTTGATACAATAAACAAAGTAAAATTACACAAAATAGTATAAATTTGTAAGTAGAAAGTTCCTAAACCTGGGAGGAAAGTAAACAAATTTCATAATGTTAATTAATTCATTCCTTACCCCTTCTTGAGAATTGTTTAGCCTACTTGTAAGAGTAATTTTTGTATAAAATAAAAATTTATTGGATTAAAATCTGTAGTAAAATGATACTTAGAGTGTTTTTAGTGAAGGTAAAATGAATAATATACGTTTTACTATGTTCTGTGGTTTAAAAGAGATATTTAAAGGCGTGCGCGACGTGTCGCGACGTCGTTTTACCTCTATAATAAATTGAACGAAATTGTTTTTTAATGCGAAGTAAATAAAATCTACAGAAAATAATGTAAAATTTTATAATAAAGAATTTGCTTTAATGTTTTAAGATACAATAAGAAGTATCTCTACGTCTTGAACGATGCGAAAGCGACGATTTACGTCGGGCGCGACGATGGGAAAGCGACGATATTTTATTTTATTATTTTAAAGCAATTATTGAAAAAAAAATTATTTTTTTATAGATTTAATTTAAGAATTTTTACGTTTATATTCTATTTTAAAACAAAATAATGATCGGTTTACGATTAAGAAACCATACACGCCTCGTAGAACTGGTTATCTTGGGCTTGATAATTAAAATTTAGTATCATGGTTAAAGAGATAATTTTAAGCACCTGTAACTTAGAGATTGTTTTATAAGAGTTACATCTAGATAATCACACAAGTTTGATGAAAATTGTCTATATTGAGCTACTATCTTGGGTACTAGATTGCCTAGATTGAGCTGCTATGTTGATAATCTAGTATCCAATTTATATCATTATCAAGATAATACATCAATTTAGTATCTTGATATTCACACAAATTAGATACTAGATTGTCTATAAGAGTTGCGGTGAGAAAAACAACCCCAAAAAATTTCCAAAATTAACTTTCTAAATTGAATTTTATTAAGAAAAAAAGAAAACTTAATTTTTTTTCTCTCTCTCTCTCTCTCTTCCCCACCCATTACAGTATAAATATGCAATAAACTCAATTGTTTAACATTGTCTACTTCATTTAAATAAATTTCAAAAAATCTTTCTCTAAAAAAAAGTTTAAATAATATTTTCTCATTCCGACATTATTTCTGCTTGTTTACTTTTAATTTTAACTGAAAACATTCGATTTTCTAAATTATAAAAGACATTTCCAGCATTCATAAGGATGCTGAAGAGTAGTGATGATGCTCCGAATTCTGGCCAATTTTTACGGCTAATTTCTGGGTTTAAAAATTAAATCGAATGAAATTTAATATAGAATATGATAAATTTGCATTTTTCAGTTAAGTTTCAACTAAAAAATATTCGTTATTGTAAATAGAACGTGGCAGTTCCAGCATCCATAAAGATGCTGAAGAGCAGTGATGATACTCCAAATTCTAGCCTATTTTTATAACAAATTCCTTAATTAAAAGCAATAACTCGTACGAAATCTTGAACAGAATGTAAAAAAAAACACTAATAATTCTTGAATCTTAAGTAAAAAACACATTTTTTTTTTGTAAATTAGAAACGATTTATCCAGCATCCATAAAGATGCTGAAGAGCAGTGATGATACTCCAAATTCTATCCTATTTTTATAGCAAATTCCTTAATTAAAAGCAATAACTCGAACAAAATCTTGAACAGAACGTAAAAAAAAACACTACTAATTCTTAAATTTTAAACTAAAAACAAAAGAAAAACACACACACACATTTATTGTAAATTGGAAAAGACTTATTTCCAGCATCCATAAAGATGCTGAAGAGCAGTAACGACACTATTAAAAAGGAAAAACCGTAACCGATTTTGATAGCTAATTTCTTAATTAAAGGCGATAAGTCGTATAAAATGTAAAAGAAAATAGGAAAAAAAAAAACATAAAATAAAATAAAATCATTGAGCGTAGAATGAAAATTAGGATTAAAGAACTAATTTATACAAAGTTTTGTAATTACTTTTTACTTTTCTATAAACCTGTGATGATGCTAATTATTTTATTTTATTTTTTTACTTTTTTTCTTTCTTCTCTTCGACTTCCTTTCATTCATTCTTTACGTTTCTTAATGTTGATTAAAAATACTTTTTCACAAATGAACAATTTCGTTGAAGTTTTCTTCTCATTCACTAAATCAGCACTTGGGAAAACAATTTACATTAAGTCTGACTCAGCTAACCTTCAAAAGAATTTCAAATAAAAACAAAATGGAGGAAAGTTTTAGCTGATTCAAAGTTGACATTATACAATGCGTCAATTCGACTGAGAATAAAACTAAATAAAAATCGAAATTAAAAGATAAATATTACGATTTTTATATATTTTTCAACGATTACTAATTAAATTTTCTTTATTAATTAATTACCATGTTTAATTGTTTTTATTTTACAGTTTAATTGTGAAATTTTATTATTATTATTTAAGTAATTTTTATTCTTTTATTTAAAAAGTAAAATTAAAAAGTCAAGTTAACGAGTTGCTTAACTTTTCCGGCAATGTTTGGTGGAACAATCTGTTACGAATTTTTTATACTTTTAATTATTATAAAATGAAAATAAGCTTAATTTTGAGGGTAGGAATGTGTTTTATAAACAATTGTACGTGCTAATAACGAGTAAAATCGTCATTATGTCCGACTCTACTCGAAATCCCACACCTTCGACATTTTACTTTTTAATATAGAAAATCGCACTGTTCCGAAGAATTTTTCCGTTTAAGCAGGTTTCCTTTATATTCAGGTTACGTTTTAGACAAATATTTAGCTTTTAAACTTTGAAAACAAAAGAAATTTAATGAATGGAATTGATAAAAATTTGATTCATTTCTTTATTAGATTTTTATATTTTATTAAAGAAATTTTTTACTTCAATTGTTTTCCAGTTAAAAAAATGAAATTTTAACATTATTTAAAGTACATTAAAAATAGTTTTAGTTGTTTTTTAAGGTTTATTTTAAGTAAAAAGTAGGTTATTTTGTTCGCTCTTCTACTTATAACCATTATAATAAACATTAAAAATGGTTACATTATGTATCAAATTACCTCAATTCTTTTATGAAATATGTTAAATTTGATACAATAAACAAAGTAAAATTACACAAAATAGTATAAATTTGTAAGTAGAAAGTTCCTAAACCTGGGAGGAAAGTAAACAAATTTCATAATGTTAATTAATTCATTCCTTACCCCTTCTTGAGAATTGTTTAGCCTACTTGTAAGAGTAATTTTTGTATAAAATAAAAATTTATTGGATTAAAATCTGTAGTAAAATGATACTTAGAGTGTTTTTAGTGAAGGTAAAATGAATAATATACGTTTTACTATGTTCTGTGGTTTAAAAGAGATATTTAAAGGCGTGCGCGACGTGTCGCGACGTCGTTTTACCTCTATAATAAATTGAACGAAATTGTTTTTTAATGCGAAGTAAATAAAATCTACAGAAAATAATGTAAAATTTTATAATAAAGAATTTGCTTTAATGTTTTAAGATACAATAAGAAGTATCTCTACGTCTTGAACGATGCGAAAGCGACGATTTACGTCGGGCGCGACGATGGGAAAGCGACGATATTTTATTTTATTATTTTAAAGCAATTATTGAAAAAAAAATTATTTTTTTATAGATTTAATTTAAGAATTTTTACGTTTATATTCTATTTTAAAACAAAATAATGATCGGTTTACGATTAAGAAACCATACACGCCTCGTAGAACTGGTTATCTTGGGCTTGATAATTAAAATTTAGTATCATGGTTAAAGAGATAATTTTAAGCACCTGTAACTTAGAGATTGTTTTATAAGAGTTACATCTAGATAATCACACAAGTTTGATGAAAATTGTCTATATTGAGCTACTATCTTGGGTACTAGATTGCCTAGATTGAGCTGCTATGTTGATAATCTAGTATCCAATTTATATCATTATCAAGATAACACATCAATTTAGTATCTTGATATTCACACAAATTAGATACTAGATTGTCTATAAGAGTTGCGGTGTAGACAATCATAATTTAAATACAAGATTGCCCATGAGTTGCCCATCAGTGGCCGAACGGTCTTCGTACCACGAACACTGGGAGTTGGGTACGCGCCTCGCTCGGACGGGCTGGCCTAAATAGGGGCCAATTTCCCTTAAAAAAAAGACCTCCCCTAGTCAGATCGCCTAAGTATTGCGTTGCCATAACTTAACAAACAGATTGCCCATAAGAGATGCTGTGTACATAACAAGATAATTTGAATACTAGATTGTTTACAAGAGATGCTGTGTACGTGATTACACAATTTGAATACTAGATTAAATTGTATACAGGTAATTATTTAAATGAAAAAATAGCAAAAGTAAATAGTCAAGAAAATTTAATTCAAATACAAATTTTGCAATTCTTATTCCTTTATTCATCAGTTTTCCTCTTTAAATGTATAAATTTAAGAAACGAAAAAAATGAATTTTATATCGTTAACTTCTTTTTTTTTTTTGTTCATGTTTTATGAATCGGCCATTACTTCTGGAATAGTTACTGATCGATTCTTTTATAGTATTTATATCAGAGTTTTTCTCCAACTAACAGTTTAGAAATATCATTAGCCAAAATGGTTTCATGTTTAAGATATTATAGGAATGAAAATTGAAATTTTTACATATATTTTTAGTTTATTTTCAACTTATTTCTTTTTGGTTTCTACCTTTATCCAGTTTCTTTGAAGCATTTTCCTCGTGGTATTTTGTACGATCTTTACGCATTGTATTTTAATTTTATTCATTTTTCTCTGCCGTAACATCCTCCAATACGATTGAATACAAAGCGATGCCCAAATTTCAAGGTATCTAGCAACATTGTTATTATTTTCAACACTTTTCACTTTTTCTCTCATTAAATATCTTAAATTAGATGAACGAAAATCGCCTGTTGAACTTCCATCACAAGCAATATTAACTTTGCTCTTATCTTGATTAATTTTGCTTATTTTATTCTTTATGAAGGATTTTCTAGATTTAATACTAAAATTCTTTATCTTACTAATAATTATTTTGAAGACTTTTCTAAAAATATTCACCTTGAAGTCTTTCTTAATAAGTATAGATCGTTTTCTAGAGCTTTGTATATTAAATTTTCCATGTTTTCGAATGAGGTAACCGCGTAAAAGTGCTTGTAAATCTTCTATATTTACAATGGTATCGTGTACTATAAAGCTATTCCACCGCCATTTTTCAATTTTGAAAATCACCGAGTCTCTCGAAATCTCTTGTAAATAATTTTCTACTAAATTCGACATCAAAGCGCGTATATTATTGAATTTTTCTAATTTTTTTACTTTTTTATTTAAAAGCCATTTTGATAAAACCCGTTCTACTAGAATTACATTGTCGAGATAACGAAGGTAACTTTTACGAAGGTTACTGCTCCTGCACCATGCTTGAATGATATAAGCGGCATCTTGTATATTTTCTATAACGTTTAATAGTAATATTTTAAGTTTCTTTCTAAGTAAATATCCTTTAATATTAGCTTGAAATCGTATAAGATTTAAAGAACTTAATTCTTCGCATGTTTCTTTTAATTTCTTTGAAGAATTGTCGTAACATAAGTCACCCATAACTTGATTTCCTTCGGATTCTTTCAAATCTTTTCTCTTAATTACATTTTGAAGGCTGCAAATCGTTAGCGGTATTCTGATTTTGTTAGTAGTTTCATTTAATTTACTTTCGCTCATAGTTTGTTCCGCTGACATGTTTCAAATTCTTTCCGGTAGTTGCCACAGTCGCAAAAATCAAAGCGTTATTATTGTTGACGTAGTAACATTGTTTCATTCAACAGTAAAGTAACCGAATTTAAGTTAAAATTAAATGGTTAAGTTTGTTTTGGATCGATAAGAAAAGCTTTCACCAAAGTTCGTGTAGCATTTAATTTAATTTTATAAGTCTTAACAATGTTAGCGATGTAAGTTGAAGGGAGAAGAATACAAAGAGTATTCCTTGTGCAGATAAAAAAAATAATATATGTCAAGTT